CAACCGAACTACCGTCAGCCAACTAGCTACGGTCCCCCCCGTGTCTATCCTGTTACTATGCCTAATACCAAGTCTATCACTTCCTATGTCCTAGTCGCTTGTGTGCCAACCCACAAATGTTGTGGTACTGCTCGCTTTGGTTAGGTTGACTGTTGAACCACAACGCTTAAAAGGTTCACAGTTCAATGCGAATGTAAAAGATTAAATTTTGGCACAATTGTAAAAGTAGTATTTTGGTAAACAGCATCAATGTAAAGAAGCAAGAATCAAAGTTGTCTCCCAGCAGATAGTGAATGTGCTTGAGACGCTCTGACGTGGTTCATCCTTCCGGACGAGGGTCAGTTGTAGAAGACGACCTGGCCTCGTTGAGGCCCCGCTGAGGCTGGGGTCATGAAGAGCGGCTTCATGAGTAAAAGTTAGCTGAAGAGAAATATTATTGTAATATGTACAATTGTGGGATTTCAATTGGGTCGGGAGAAACTGGCGAGGGGTGATGAAAGCGAGTAGTCTGAAAAGTCGGTCGCCAGTAGACCTGTCATTCACAATGTCTGTCGGTTTGTCAAGCTGCCTGTTCGTCTGTCACTGTTGGTGTCTGTCTGTTGGTCTGTCAATCGGTCGGTCAGCTGACCGGTGAGTCTGTAGATCGGTCATTCAGAATGTCTGCTACTTTCGGTTGGCCGGTCAGTTCTTATGATTTGTCCATCTGATGGTCTGTTTGTATGTCTGTATGTCGGTTTTTGCTGTAGGTCGGTATTCTGATTCGTCTGTCCGTCGATCGGTCAGTCTGTAGATCGGTCTGTTGGCCTAGCCGTCTGTCGCTCGATCGGTCATTCAGAATGTCTGCTAGTTTCGGTTGGCCCGTCAGTCTGTACATCGTTCTTATGATTTGTCGATCTGATGGTCTGTTTGTATGTCTGTATGTCGGTTTTTGCTGTAGGTCGGTATTCTGATCCGTCTGTTCGTCGATCGGTCAGTCTGTAGATCGGTCTGTTGGCCTAGCCGTCTGTCGCTCGATCGGTCATTCAGAATG